AGTGGACCCACTGCATGAGAAACTCGTGTCCCCAGGCTTTGAGGGCTACCCACACTCACCTGTGTCCAGCTACAATTGATCTGTCCCTGCAAGACAAGGGGCATGGAGTGTGAGGGGCAGCCTGGTTAGAAATCCCTGAAACTCCTCATTATTAGCCAGCAGGACTCTTTCTGGGCACTTCATTCCTTTGCAAGCTGGGGTCTTGGGGAGGTAGAGAAGGTCTAGGACTGGAATTTGACCACTGTTTCTGTTGTCTTCCCACCTCCTCTGGGTGGCCCATGCTCCCTGCCTGTCTCTGAGTGGTTCAGGTGACTTTGACTCTGTTATGCCCACCCGCTCTGGGCATTTCCTTCAAGGCAATGAGCTCAGTCAGCTGGTAAATGAGAGCAAGGCCATTAGGCTCACAATGAAGTATGAATGATCAGCCTCCTCAGGGGATTTGGCTGTTGACAACTCTGAAAATTCCAAGCCATATGATGATGTAAAGAATTCCAGTCATTATTGAAAGACATTTATTTTTAGAGTGGGGTGGAGTATTTTCTCAGTGCATTATTAGCCAGGCTTGCTTAGGTGACCTTGAGCTACGAATATGGAAATCCTGAAAAGGCCTAATTCATTGTGACCTTTTCCCCATATGCCTCCAGAGAGGTTTCCCAGTCCCACTTCCCGATTCTGTCTTTATCTCCCCTTTGCAACTTTCTGATCATGGTCAGCTTGCACCTTCCTTCTTATCCCCTCTTTTCCTTCCTTCTTTCTTTCCAATCAATGGAACACCCACTACATGGTGCATTGTGGGTAAAAAGGAGTAGTACGTCCCTGCTCTCGGGGGACTCTGAGATTACCGGAGAGGCATTTGTGGTCTTTATGAAAAGATTGCAGTGTGCTGGGTGAGGTATGTAAGCAGAGTGGTGCCATGTGCCAATGGGAGAGCCCCTGAGCGGGGTGTGGAGGGGCAGGAAAGGAGGCCCAGGAGGAATGCTGTGACCTGAGTCTTAAGGCTTAAGCAGATGTGAGCCAGTAAACTCATGGAGGAAGACATTCTAAGAAAAGGGCACAGTCCATGCAAAGACCTGACTTAACAACCGAGAACCCCAATAGTTCAATGTGCCCGGAGCATCACACAGAATATGGGGACACAGAGGAGAAGCCAGACCAGCAAGGCTTCTGTACATCATGTTTGCTAGTCTGGGTCTTATTGTTCTTTATTCTCATCTAATCAAAAGAATTAGAAGAACACATGCACATGACTTGAAAATCACATGGCAGGTATAATGAAGAGCAGCAGTGTGGGGGCCTCTCCTGACCCAATGTCTTATTCCCTGGAGGTAACCCAGGTTTTACCTCTTCAAGTTTTCATTCCTGTTGCTGTCTCCACGCTACTGAATAATATGCTTCCATCTTTATTCATTAATTAAATCTATACATTATTGGAATATAATGGGATTATTGTTGGAATATTTGGAATTTCTGCTATGGTAAAGATCTAGAGAGTGACCTCCAATCTTATCTCCCCTTCATTTCTATTCTGAAGACTTCAGGGAACTAGGAATGGTAGTGAGCAGCTCAGCCATGTGATGCTATTTGCATTTTAGAAAGACCAGTCCAGAAGCATGGTGGATGGTGGGTTGAACGAGGGGAAATGGTTTCATGGTAAACCAGATGACAGATGCTGCAGGTTTGCATTAAGGGAGTAGTGCTGTGACTTGAGAATGGACGGGGGAAGCCTTTGAGAGAGAATTGAGAGACTGAATGTATAGGACCTTGAGAATGAGTGCCTCTTCTACTTTATTTTGTCAAACATGACCTTGATTCCAAAATCCTTTCAGAAAGACCACACATCCCAAAAGCTGTGGATCAGCCTTTCAACAGAGACAGAAAATCTTGAATACAATCTCCAGAGAGTAAAATTCTCAAAATTTAAGGGAAAACTCATTTACCAGTTTAAGTTTAGGGTTCAATTCACAAAGGTAGTTAATTAAGAGGAAATTCTTATTATCAGTTCAATAGACACCAGTAAGTCATTTATAAAATTCAATGTTCCTGTCTGTTTTTTAAATGTTTATTTATTTATTTTGAGAGAGAGAGAGAGAGAGAGAGAGAGAGAGAGAGAAAGAGAGAAACCCAAGCAGGCGCTGCACTGTCAGCGCAGAGCCTGACCTCACAAACCATGAGATCATGACCTGAGCTGAAATCAAGAGTTGGACACTTAACCAACTGAGCCACCCAGGTGCCCCACTCCTGTCCATTTTTAAACCACTAAAATCTTTCTGAAAGATTTTACAAACAAAAGAGTATCTATTCCGAACTGAGAGCCTATGTTAAACACATGGTGTGAAACACTAGAATTCCTTTAAAATCAAAAGAAAAACAAAGTGTTTTAAAAGCCCACTAGTTCCTTTATTTTTTCATCTTTATTGATGTATAATTGACAAAGAAAATTGCAAGTTTCCTAAAGTATACATTGCGGTTATTTGGAATACGTACACATGATGAAAGGATCCCCACCATCTAGTTCATTAACACACTCATCACCTCACATATTTATCTTCTTTCTTTGCTTTTGATGAGAACAATTAAGTTCCATTCTCTTAGCAAATTTCAATTATATAATGCAGTGTAATTAACTACAGTCATGTTTTACATTAGATTCTTGGAGCCTATTCATGTTATAGCTGAGTGTTTGTGCCTTTTTACCAACTTCTCCCTATTTCTTTCACCCCACCGTCCCTTTTCTACATTCTGTTTCTGGGATTTTGACTTTTTTTCTCTTTCTTTCTTTTCTTTCTTTCTTTTTTTTTTTTTTTTTAATATTCCACATATAAGTGGTACCATGCAGTGTCTCTCTTCTCTGTTGGGCTTATTTTACTTAACATAATGCCCTCAAGGCCCATCCATGTTGTTGCAAATGGCAGCATTTCCTTCTTTTTTGTGGTTGAATAATATTTTATTGTATATATATATATCCCCCATATCTTCTTTATCCACTCATCTATTGACGGACAGTTCCTTTACATAGATGAGCCAAGGAAAAAAAGGTCGGTGGCAGTTCTTCAGACATACTAAACCAAGATACAAAGTTTTAAAAAGAATTCAAACTTTTTGTACAAACACATATGTGGTTATTTTATTTCTACATTTAATATTATTTTGTTTCTCTATTTAATATACTTACCAGTTATTCCACTACTCACTACCTGATTCTCCAAGAGGAGTTGGAATGTTTTACAATTAAAGAGAGATGCTATAGGAACATTAAGATAAAGAAAAAGAAGGAGGCCCGTGAAGTGAATTTCAGGACAGAAGAGGAGGTATTCAGTTAGAGCTGAGGATTTAAACAAAACACAAAACAAAACAAAATAAAACCAAGCTCTGAACTTCCTTGGAAGCAAGGCAAAAGGGAAATTTCCCATTAGATGATAAAATAAAATTGACCAGTTTGTCAAGAGAACATCAATTCTCTAAACAACAATAACAGCAACAACAGCAGCAACATCAACAATAAAGTAACTGAAGTCTAGCCAAGTTTGTTAGATCACATTGCTCACCAACCACATAGACATCAGCTATTTTTTTGATCTCTCCTGGTCCCATATGATTTACCTGAAACATTTTCACCCTCTGTTGGTAAGTCTGGTTCTACTCTTCCATAAAGGTTATATCCTTGTCTTCTACTGAGCTGTCAGTTTCTGAATATCTGTGGGGCTCCTGGTGGGTACCTTCTTTATATCATAGATCACCTCCTATTACATAGCATCTCTTCCTATTTCAAAACTATGCCTCTCACTGGACCAGTGAATACACACTCCAAGTAGCCTGCTGAGGGATGCTCAGAGGTTCCAGTTTATCAGCAGAGCAGAGATGATTAGCATTCCTTATGCCTAATGAGGGATCACATCCTTCCTAGCTTAGATCATCAACTTTCCCACTGGCCTCAGGGACTCTCAACTCCGTTCTTGGGTGCACTACTCAGAGAGGTGACCTTAGAGAAGAGATTTCCTAAAATTTTGAAGTGTACCTGAATGTGTTGAAATTATTTGTACATTTCATGTGGGGATGACATATATATGAACACAGTTTTCTGGTAAGAGGGTCCACAGTCTTAATGATATTCTCCATAACCCTCCAAAAGTTGAGGATCAGTATTGCAGCATTCTTTCACTACATGTGTGTAATGTTGTAAGCCTTTTACTGTGAAACAACAGGCCCAGAAGAAGGATGGTCTTCTTTTGTCTTGACCTTAGGGCTGTACCTTCTACACCTACTGCTCAGGATAAGATGGGGACCCTTCCTCAAAACTAAAATCCATTCAGTGTCTCTAACCCTCTTTTCTGACCTTTTCTATATTACCACATCATAATATAATCATAAATATATCTATAGTGATTTATGGCTCATAAAGTACATCCAGATACATCCTCTAATTTAATATCTACAATAACACTAGGAATAAGCATTAGAGTCTCCATTTTTACAGATGAGAAACCTCAAACTCAGAGAGGTTTAGTGCCTTATTCAAGGTTCTGCTAAAACTGGCAGATTCTGGGCCTATTCTGGAATCTGAATTCTGTGAGGTATTTATAGAGTAGTCTACCTTCCAAAGACCACATGAGATTGGAAAAGTTGGACTTTCAGCATAGCCAAAACCATCCCAAGCCAATAATGCCTCTTCCTGTTGGTTTAGTCTTCTTAACTTGATGCTGTGAAATGTGATCTCAGCCCCTTGGTACACACATCATAAATTACCACTCATAATATATATTATAGTGATTTTCTCAAGTTATTTAGAATGTATATTAAGCCTTGAATGCATAGGTTAATGGCCTGGTCATAGAATTAAGCACAATTGACAAATACAATGGCAGGGGAGGAGGATAATGGTGGTGGTAAGGGGAACTTTGCTTCATCTGGGATGGACTTTAGTTGCTTTAGACCACCTGCCCCAAAAGACTTGATTCTCAATCCATCAAAAAATACTTCTTACTCCGAATTTACTCCCACAGGAGGCCTATGTGACTCAGCAGGATAAGATCCGTCTGGTGGGGGAACTGGTGACCATCACGGGGGCTGTGATCATCCTGCTCCTGGAGGTGAAGTACAACCAGGGTCCAAGCTGAGGCCATCCACCTGGGGCCCCAGACTGAACTGCAGTCCACATTGTCTTTTTGTTTTACTGGCCTTTTCCCAGATCCCGGACATCTTCAGGGTTGGTGCTTCTCGCTATTTTGGACAGACTATCCTCGGGGGACCGTTCCATGTCATCATGTGAGTGTCTCTTCCTTTCAGTCCCATGTCTTCCCTTGCCAGAATTGTTCCAGGTCCCCATTCACTCTTTGGGACCTAGACTTCAGCTGACTCTCACTTCTAGGGATTTTTTGCCCAGTGGGCTTATATGTGTGTTTTGGGTGTAAGGACTAAGCCTGAGTGGGTACCACCCAACTCATCACCATGCTAGAGGAGACCTGGAATATTTCCTCTCTCACTCCTTGTTCCCTGCCCCCTCCCCCAAGCATCACCTATGCCTGCATGGTGCTGGTGACCATGGTGATGCGGCTCTCCAACATGAACGGGGAGATGGTGCCCATGTCCATTGCCCTGGTGCTGGGTTGGTGCAGTGTTATGTACTTCGCTCGAGGATTCCAGATGCTTGGTCCCTTCACCATCATGATACAGAAGGTCAGTGCCTTCCCCAAAGATTCCTCTGGCTTCAGCAATAAGTCCTTTCCAGACAAAGGGAGGAGATGGAGCTAGGTGGCCTCCAGTTTAGCAGGATAGCTGCAGAGAAGCAGGTAGAGAAGGGTCATTCCAACCTCCCTCCCCTTCCCTTTCCTGTAGATGATTTTTGGAGACTTAATGCGCTTCTGCTGGCTGATGGCTGTGGTTATTCTGGGATTTGCCTCAGGTAAGAGCACTGTCCCCCCACACTACTAGGTCATGGGATCTAGTTCTCCAGAAAGTTCACTCACTCTTGCTCTCCGTTCTCATTTATACTCTCTTTTGCTTATTTCCCCCCTAGTGGATATTGAGTCAAAAAGCACACTCATATCCATAGGATCAGGGTCACTTAAGATGACCTAGAAGGTAGATGATATGCTCTGAATTTATGGGCTAGTAACATTCATGTTGACTAACAGCCCAGGAAGATTTTTAAAGAAGAGATAGATAAAGGGCTTTGGAGAGACAGCGCCATTAAACAGGAAAGACTGGCCAGTTGTGGATCTCAGAAAACTATGTGGGCAAACAGAGTCAGTGCAATATTTAACTCTTCTGTCTCTACACTTCAAAAGAAGAAACACAGAGAATTCAATAACACATAGCATCCTTTTTTTTTCTATGTGTATTTAAAGTTGGGAGAAAAAGAAAGAAATCAAAGAGGAAGTACAGAAAATGATTTTGGAGAGTTTGAGGATGAGAGAGGAAAACAGAAGAAAAAAGCTGTAAAGAGAGATTGGAGAAAGAGGGAGCAGGGACTTAGTCGCAGCCCAAGGCACACGTGGAATGTCAGGGTAGATAGAGGAACAGAGTGAGAAAATAACAGCCAGGATAGAGGGTGAAGGCAGTGAGAAAGTAGGAGAAAGTTCTTATGGAAAGGCACTAAGAGGAAGGAAGAACAGTGAGATATGGCAACTCAAATCTAGTCTCCTGTGTCTGCAACCAAACATCCGTAAGACAAGGGGATGCCCTAGGCGCTATTTGAAGACCTCTCAACTCTAAAAGACAATTGCCTTTTAGAACAAAAGGCACTATTCTTGTCCTAGGAATTCCCACTTAACAGGAATTCCCACCAAACAGACCAAAAAAAAAAAAAAAAAA